CACAGGTCAAAGCACGGAGAACTATATGCAAAGCTATGCACTGCAACGAAAAGCTGTTCAACACAATTCAGATACAAAGCGCGACACGGTAACGCAGGCAATGGAACCCAATGGGACGGACACAATCAAATCCAAGGTGGCCCAGACCAGTCCACCAGAAAATGATCGTGGCGAAGGACCCAAGCATATGCAACCGCGAGTACCGCAAGGCATGCAGGACGCAGTAGGGGGTCTCGGGTCTCCTTACGGGGCAACGAAACGTGCGACGGGTGTGCGGACATGGACAGGGAGCCGCATTTGGACGCACCCACTGGGAGTCTAGGTGGAACTCCCTTCTGCGACCACGAAACGTGTGTGGTGTCAAAATTGAGCGGGCACCGCAAACGGACCCTGCCACTCAGGCCTTCGACGGAGCCCTTTATAAACCCACGAAACGTGTGAGAAGGGTTGTGCCGAAATTAGGCGGTCACCAGATGCGGTTCCTGCAATTGGGGCTTTCGGTGGAGCCCCCTAGGGGGCCACGAAACGTGCGAGGGGTCTGCCAGAGTAGAGCGGGTACCACATGCGGATCTGGCCACTGGGAGCTCCGGTGGAGCTCTCTATGAGGCCCCGAAGCGAGCGTGTGAGAGGTGTGACGAACTTTGGCGGGTAAAACATGCGGGCCCTGCCACTGGGTCCTTCGGTGGAGCTCCCGATGTGGTCACGAAGCGTGCGAGGGGTGTGACGACATGGAAACACCACATGCCGACACTGCCACTGGGGCCTTCAATGGAGCTCCCTATGGGGCCACAAAGCGTGTGAGGGGTGTGCCGACAAGGGGCACCACATGCCGACCCTACCACTGGGGCCTTCGTTGGAGCTCCCTATGGTGCCACGAAGCGTGGGAGGGGTCTGACGCTATTGGGCGGGTACAACATGCGGACCCTGCCACTAAGGCATTCGGTGGAGCTCCCGACAGGGCCACGAAATGTGCAAGTGGTGTGCGGAAGGCAGACGCAGAAATGAGAGGGAGGAGGGGGGAGATGAGGTGAGTGACGCGGGACACTGCTGACTCAAAACGAAGACCCAACGCCACAAGATGGTTGGGAAAAATGCATCACAAGTCAAACCCCTTCGGATTATCGCAGAACAAATGAAATCTAGCAACCAAACAAAAAAGCGTAACGGAATGCAGAGTAATTCAACGCAGAACAGAGCAATGCAACGCAGTGTAGACCAATGCTGCACGAAACTCCACTGAGATCTGTCGTCGCGGTCCAGGGCCGAGGGACACCCTTGAAAAGTTCAGCGACCCGCAGGCTCTCGGCTCGAGACTCATAGGCGCGCTGACTTGCTCAAGCGCATGGGAGTGGCCTCTCGTCGAGGAGTGGCCCACCGCAGGGATCAAAACTATATACCGACCTCTCCATGAGGCAGAAACGCCCTACAGCAAAGCAAAGCAGCTCCACACAGGTAAGGCCAAACTGCATAATCGAGGGCCTCCTGAAGGACAGTGAAGGGGGGTGGGGGCAGTCGCCAGATGAAGCACCAAGAGCCCCGCCCCCCGAGGGCCCAGGAAACAGAGGCCACCACGGAACGGCCACAGGGCCTGTCGCATCATGAAGCTACGATTCCTGAAGCAAGCCATGTCCGCCAGTCCTTCGAGGCACGAGTTGGCATGCCCTCAGGTCCCTTGTGATCCTCAGCCATCAATCCTCAGGATTATACACAAAGGAGCCCGGACTCCAGATTATCAGCGTTTCCTAGGTTCCCGGCGTGCCTCCTGCTGTACCCCAGAGCTTCCCGCAGGACTTCTTCGGAGCGTCGAGCGCCCCAAAAAGGGGCAGGAAGGCCCCGCAAGGCCTCTGACCTACAACCCAGGCACGGTGGCGGGATGGGCCGATGGCCAGTAGACCTGGCCCGGCACAGAAACAGAAAGAGCGCGTCAGAAACTGCAACCGAAATTACTCACACCACCGTTGGTACTGGGAGCCTTGGCGTTGAGAGCTTGTTACGTCACCCCTCGCTCTTGGGAGCCTTGGTGTTCAGAGATTGTTGCGTTGCCGCCCGTTCCTGAGCTTTGGCTGGGCCTTGGTCTCAGGAACTTGTTACGTCACCGCTCTCTGCACCGTTCGCTCTTGGGAGCCTTGGTGTGAAGAGCTTTCGGCGTTACCGATCGCTCTTTATTTGGCTGGGCCGTCGTGGGAGTCCTCTTGGGGCCCTTGTAAAACCCTTGTGGAGGCCTCTTGGGGGCCTCCTGGGGCTTCTTGGGGGTCTGAGGGGGCCTCCTGGGAGCGTCTTGGGGCGAAAGGCTAGACTTTCGGGTTCGCGGTCCCCCTCTTGGGGCCGTCTTGGGGCCCTCTTGGGCCGTCTTGGGCGCCTCCTGGGCCGTCTTGGCGCCCTCTTGGGCCGTTTTGGGCTCTTGGCAGCCTCTTGGGGCGGTCTTGGGGGCCTCTTGGACCGTCTTCAACGCCGTGAAAGCCGCAAAGCCTTGTGTGCTAAAAATGTAAGTTTTCCCATAGAAAATCAATGATTTTGGCCTCCTGATGGCCTCGTGGGGCGCCTCTTGGGGGCCTCTTGGGGCTTCTTGGGGGGCTGCGGGGGCCTCCCGGGAGCGTCTTGGGGCGATAGGCCAGACTTTTCGGTTCGTGGTCCCCCTCTTGGGGCCGTCATGGGGCCCTCTTGGGCCGTCTTGGGTGCCTCTTAGGCCGTCTGGGGGCCCTCTTGGGCCGTTTTGGGGGCCTCTTGGGAGCCTCTTGGGCCGTCTTGGGGCGGTCTTGGGGGCCTCTTGGGCCGTCGTCAACGCCGGGAAAGGCTAAAAGCCGTACGTGCTAAAAATATACGTTTCCTCTGGAAAATCTATGCTTTTGGCCTCTTGGGGCCCTCTTGGGACGCCCCTTGGGCGCCTTTTGGGGGCATCTTGGGGGCCTCTTGGGCCGTCTTGGGCGGTCTTGGGCTCTCTTGGAGCGCTCTTGGGCCGTCTTGAAGGAAAATCCCCCCCAAAAAAACATGCAAAAACCCTTAGGGGAAACCCCCCAAACGGCCATTAGAACTCATGTGTACGCGGTACGCCCCCCCCTGGAACCCCCCCTTAAGGGGCTTCGCCCAACACACAACGTCATCGCTCGTACCTCGCTCTTTCCATTACCTGGCCCGGCACAGAAACAGAAAGAGCGCGTCAGAAACTGAAACCGAAATTACTCACACCACCGTTCGTACTGGGAGCCGCTGCGTTGAGAGCTTGTTACGTCACCCCTCGCTCTTGGGAGCCTTGGTCTTCAGAGATGGTTGCGTTTCCGCCCGTTCCTGAGCCTTGGCTGGGCCTTGGAGTCAGGAACTTGTTACGTCACCGCTCTCTGCTGGGAACCTTGGTCTTATCAGCTTGTGTACGCCACCGTTCGCTCTTGGGAGCCTTGGTGTGAAGAGCTTTCGGCGTTACCGATCGCTCTTGCGTCTCTGGGCCTACGTGGGAGTCCTGTTGGGGCCCTTTTCGGGCCCTCCTGGTGGCCTCTTGGGGGCCTCTGGGGGCTTCTTGGGGGTCTGTGGGGGCCTCCTGGGAGCGTCTTGGGGCGAAAGGCTAGACTTTCGGGATCGTGGTCTCCCTCTTGGGGCCGTCTTGGGGCCCTCTTGGGCCGTCTTGGGCGCCTCTTGGGCCGTCTTGGCGCCCTCTTGGGCCCTTTTGGGGGCCTCTGGGGAGCCTCTTGGGCCGTCTTGGGGGCCTCTTGGACCGTCTTCAACGCCGTGTAAGCCGAAAAGTCGTGTATGCTAAAAATGTACGCATTCCAATCGGAAATCAATGATTTTGGCCTCCTGATGGCCTCATCGGACGCCTCTTGGGGGCCTCTTGGAGCTACTTGGGCTACTTGGGTCAAGCCCTTTACTTAGGCTACTTTGGCTACTTGGGTCAAACCCGTGGGTTACTTGGGCTACTTGGGCCCAACACTCTACTTGGGCTACTCAGGCTACTTGGGCTACTTGGGCTACTTGGGCTATTTGGGTCAACCCACTCTCAAGACACGCCTGGCGGATGCAATGCGAAAAAGCGTCCAAGACGTCCGAAGATGCCTCCGAGAGCCTTCCCAAGAGTGCCTAGGTCTGTTCTTGATTTCAGGTTTCTCCACGCTTCGAACTTCCGACGCTCCAAGACGTTCCAAGATGCCTCCGAAACCGCCCTAAGACGGCCCCTGAGGCCCACACGAGAGCCCCAGGACGGCCCCAAGAGGGCACCAAGGCGGCCCAAGAGGCGCCCAAGACGGCCCAAGAGGGCCCCAAGAGAGGCCCAAGAGAGGCCCAAGAGCGGGAACACGAACCGAAAATCCAAGCCTTCCCCCTCAAGACCATGAGGCCCCGAGAAGCCCCCAAGAGGCGCAAAAAGAGGATCCCAAACAAGCCTCAGAAGTCCCCAAGAAGCCTACAGAGGCTCCCAAGAGGCCCCCGAGACGCCCCAAGATGCCCCAAAACGGCACCCCAAAGGCTCCAAAACGGCCCCCAAGACGCCCCCGAGAGGCCTTCCGCGACATCCTAACGAACATCCTTGAGGCCTACGACCCACAACCCAGGCACGGTGGCGGGATGGACCAAAGGCCATTATGTATACTATAATTTCGTCGTGCCACCACTGATGCCGACGCCGCCGCCGTCGCTGAGGAAATCACAAGATACCGATACAGCTACTTCCCGGACCTCTCCAGGGATGCGTTCTGACCAAGATTTCGAAGAGAACCCAGCCATGGCGGCGAGGGCCTCCCAGGAGGCCCAACGAAGCTAAAACAAAGAAATGCAGCCCCCGACACGCGATGTCTTGATTCTGTCAATGCACGGTCCCAAGAAATCCCGACCCAATTTCTACCGGTCCCGCGGCCCGGCGAGGGCCCCCAGTGGCAGAAAACGACAAAAAACCTCCGTCCTGATTCTTTAAAGCGCTGCACAACGAAAACAGCGCTGGCGCAAACGGAACAGCGACAGCGACGGCGGCAATCGCGGCGGCGACACCCGAGCTGCCCCGGGCCCCCCCCCCCCGCCAGCGCTGTCCGCGTCGGCGCCCGCGCCGTGAAGCGCCGCCCGGGCGCGGTCGAGGTGCCTCCCCGCCAGATGCCACCCGTCGACGACGCCAACAATGACACCGACGGACGACGACGATGGCCAGACTGACTAAGAAACCGACGACGGCGACGGACGCCCACGACGAGGACCACGAAACCGACAAACGACGACGACGACGCCAACGACGACGACGAAGACGAAACCGACGGGCGACGACGACAACGACGACAACGACGACCACAACGACGACGAAACCGACTGACAAAAACGAAGACAACGACAACGATCACGACGAAGATTAATATGGCTACGACTACCACGACGAAGTCAACGACGACGACGACGACGACGAAGAAACCGACGGACGACGACAACGACGAGGAAACCGACGGGCGACGACGACGACAACGGCGATGAAACCGAAGGACAACGACAACGACGACGACGACGACCAAAAGGACGGACGACGACAACGACGACGCAAAACGACAGACGCCAACGACGACGAAAACGACAGACGCCGACGAGGACGCCAACAGCAACGACGACGACGACGACGCCAACGACGCCGACCATTATGACGAAACCGACGGACGGACGACGAAGACGACGACGAAACCGCCCAACGACGACGTCGACGAAACTGACGGACGACGACGACGACGACGCAAACGACGTTCACGTAGACGACGACGACGACGACTACGAAAAACGACAACGACGACGAAACACACGGACGACGACGATGTGGACGACAAACGACGACGAAACCGACGGACAACGACGACGACGAAACCGAGGACGACAATGACGACGACGAAGCCGACGGCGACGACGAAACCGACGGACGACGACAACGACGATGACGGCGAAACCGACGGACGACGACGAAGACGACGACAACGTCAATGACGACGACGACAAAGCCGACGGACGACGACGACGACGACGACGACAGCGACGACGACGACGACGCCAACGACGGCCGCGAAACCGACGGCCAACGACGAAAACGACAACGACGACGAAGTCGACGGACGAGTACGACGACGAGAGCGACGGGCAAGGACGACGACGACGATGTGGACGACGGACGACGGACGACGACGACGAAACCAACAGACAACGACGACGACAACGCCAACGACGACGCGGACCCCGACAGACGCCGACGTCGCCGCCAACGACGACGAAACGCCGGTCGACGACGACGGGAAACACTACTGAAGACAACGACAGCAACGACAACGAAACCGCCGACGACGACGGAGCCGACGGACAACGACTGCGACGCAAACTGCGACAGCGACGACGACGACGACGAAACTGACGGACGACGACGACGACGACGACGACGACGACACCGACGGACAACGACTACGACGACGACGACACCGTCGAAGACGACGACGACGACACCGAAGGACAACGACGACCTCGACGACGACGTTGACTGCGAAACTGACGGACGACGACGACGCAGCCCGACGCCAACGACGACGAAAGCGAAGAACGACAACGACGACGACGAAGCCGACGAACCCAAAGAAGGACGGCGGCCTCCAGTTCTGCTGCGCATCTACTCGCTGCGACTTTCTTCTCAGCGGTCACTTCGACTCGTCGAATTTCCTCGCGGGCGCGTAACATCTCGGCCTCGGAACGAGCGTGCCTCTCATCCGCGACGATTCGGTTCGTTTCGGCTTGCTCAACGGCAGCGGCAGCCTCCGCGGCCATCCGCGCGCTCCGGTTCTGGCGGTTTGCGAGGAGATGTCCAGTCTTTCGATCTCACTCGCGACATGACGCAACTGTGATGACGACAACTGGACTTTAACTATCCTGTTGACCTCTGACGCGAGGTCAGCTGCGATCGCCAGGTAAAGCCGGGCGAAATGGCAGGACCCCCTCAACTCCATCGCATCTACACTTTTAGAATCAAAAGCGCCCACGATCCACCTAACGGCCCCCCCGCAATTCAGCGAAGCCGCCGCCGCCGCCGTCCTAGCGACATTGCGACGCCGCCGCTGGTGGTTGGCAGCATCGGGCGTCGCTTCCAAGGCTATATTTTTCCGTATTGCCTGCATCGTTCTAATGTCGCGCAGCGGCTGGGGCAACATCCATGGGCGGGAACGGGGGGCCATCGCCGCCGCCGCCGCCCCCCGGCGGACCGCCTCCAGGCGGGCCCCCGCCGCGCCGGAGCCGGCGATCTGGAGCGCCATTTTCTCTTCCGTCGGGCGGGGGCCCATCGTCTTCAAGGCAGGAGTCGCCATCGTCTTCGTCGCCATCGTCATCATCTCCGCCGTCGTCGCCAGGAGGGCCTGAGCCCGGGCGTTTCGGCGCTGGTGCCTTCCTTGGGGGGGGTCGCGTCATTCCCCTTATCTTTCTGTTTGAAGATGCTCTGCAAAATCCGCGGCGCTGGTGGCGCGCGCCCTGGGAAAGAGGTCGCAGTGCTGGGGCGAGCTGCCCCCGGGGTGGAATTCGAACCTCTCAGTGCCCAGACCCCCCGCTCAACTCCTTGCCCCCTTGCCCTGGGGTCGCCGCGCCAGGGCGGCGGCCGCCTCGGCCCTTTTCTCGCGCATCTCTTTGATCTTTACCCTGCGCTCAGCTCGCATCCCGGCGTTCCCCTCTTCGCGCTGCATTGCCTGTTCGAGCTTGTCCTTGAGTATGTGATTTTCAGCCCTCGCAGCTTCTTCAAACTCAAATAGCCCCTTCGATTCAACGCTCTCGGCCCGACCCCAGGCATAGCCCTGGGCGCGCGCAGACCGAAGCAATCGATCACGAGAGACCGCCCTCGGCATAGTCAAAGTGGTGATACATTCCTGACGTTTCTCTCTGGCCTGACGTTCCTCATGTTATTTATCCGAAGTCTTTCCTCGGCTTTATTCTTTCTCAACTGCCGAGTCCTTCTCGCAGCAGCGCGCGCGCGTCTCGCCACCCAGTGCAAAGCGGTCGTCGCAAGCGCCTTTGTTGCGCGAGGGGCAGTCGCGAGTGGCCACTTTGGAACGCAGATAACAGCACAGAGCATCCGCGCGGGGATTCCGACCCGACTTCCCGCGCGCGGCTGGTCGCCCAGCCGCAGTCGGCGCCGACGAAGGCGCGGCGGGCGCTGCCGCCGCAATCGCTTAGGCCACCGACCCAGTGCGCGAAGTCGTTGCCGAAGATGCCCCTGTCGGGTTCCACTGTATCTGGCGCTGCAAGCTTGCGATGCAAGCTGTCCCGCTCGGCCCCCCGACTCTTCGCCATCGGGGCGGCCTCCAGTTCTGCTGCGCAAGTACTCGCTGCGACTTTCTTCTCAGCGGCCACCTCGACTCGTCGAATCTCCTCACGGGCGCGTGACATCTCGGCCTCGGAACGAGCGTGGCCCTCATCCGCGACGATTCGGTTCGTCTCGGCCTGCTCAACAGCAGCGGCAGCCTCCGCGGCCATCCGCGCGCTCCGATTCTCGGCCGCTTGCAACTCCTTGGCAGCCTACGACGCAGTCGTTCGCTGAACTTCACCAGCCCCCTTTGGCAGCGCGCCTCGCCTCCTCTGAGAGGTGCTTCTCCTGGAGACGCGATTGGCACTCGAAGGAAACGGTAATCTTAACCTGTTGGCGAGCTCTTCCACTGCCCCCGCCGCCGCGGAAACCCGTCGAGCCGCCGCCGCCTGCTGGCGCCCCTCCAGGCAGCGCGCGGCGTTCACCGAGGCTTCCCGGTCTCACTCCACATGAAGGGCGGGAGCCGCTTGTTGTTGCATCTCCGACTGCCTGTGTTGCTCGCGCATATCTGCCAGGTCTCTCTCCCCTATCCCCATGATATCGAACCTCTTTTTCTCCTCAGCTTCGCGCCGCTCACGCTCGCGTAACCCAGCGCAGTTACGCGAGCCAGGCGCAGTGCACGTTGCGCAAGGGAAATTTAGGTTACAGAGGCCGCAGACGTCAGAGCATCCGAAACAGACAGGCTTCCTGCACGGGCCCGATAAACCAGGGCACCGCGACTCTGGCACCACAGCGCACCTCGGTCCATAGTTGGCGCACTTGGCGTTGATTCGCAAGCTGGAGGCACTCGACCTGCCCGATAAGTTGGACAGATCAGATACCTCAGATCTCGGTCTTGGGGCCCTGGGCCCGCCCTTCTCGGCGCCCCTCTCGCGGGAGGGGGGGGTGGGGGCGGGGGGGCGTGAGTCAAGCGTGCCAGACATTGACGTCGGCGCTCTCTGACTCGTCTGAGGAAGGCGAGGCAGGGGCCAGGGGGCACGGCCTCAGGGCACTCCCCCGGGAGCGAACGCTGGGCTGTACTCCAGGATGTCGCCAGATCTACTTCGCTTCCCGAATGGCGAGGTCGTTGAAAGACCAACGCGCCCGCGTCTCTGCTTGCTCGTCGCCTTTATGGGACCACCCACGAACCCCTCATCTATGATCTCCCCCAAATTCCGTTCCAAAGAATCGTCGGATGAAATCGCGGCATCCTCACCGTGCGCGAGCGGCGCCTGCGCAGGGGGGGGGAACCGCCCAATGGAACTGGGGACGCACGGTCTTAGACGTCACCTCCTCCATCATGTGGCCAATGGTCAACATGAGTGCCGATGGGCCCGGGCGTTGACCTGCGAGAAAAATTCCCCGGCGAAATCGACTCCACGTCGCGGTCGCCGTCCGGGAGCTGAATGGAGATATCAGGTTGGTCATCAATGGGCATGAGGTCCTCTTCATATTCTCCTTCTCGGTCGGGTCGCGCGGCGCCCTTGATCTCCGGAGTACTAGGACGAGGCTCGTCATCGAATGTGAGGTCCCAGCAAACCTTGGAGGGAGGGTGTCGGTTCGTCGACAGCCGGCCGGATTTTTTTCATGAACATTCACACTCATGCAATGGCGCGTTTCTTCTTTAGGTTGTACATCACCCTGGGACTGTTGGCACATAGTTCCCTCACCTGGCGTAACTAATTTCATTGAAGACAACAGTTTTCGGCTGCTAAGCAATATTTTGCCAATCAATTGATGATGCGGGCTCTTTCTTGGCCATGTTGATAGGCAACATGTGATCATGATCGTCTCGTAATTGTTATCATTGCATCTTCTTCCTGTAGTAGTTTCAATGTAGGTGATGCGTGACGCACTACTAAAAGCCATGGCTAAATGAATATGATGGTGTCCTTAGGTCAAGGCTGGCAACAAGATATGAAAGGGGCCGGCCGGCCGGGGGAGGGCGCCCGGGAGGGCGCGCGCGGCGGGCGGGCGGGCCGCAGTCTTTTTCTTGAGCCGACCCACAGAAGCTGCGACGAAATTGTGGGTCAGAAATGGGAAATGGGCACGGGGGGATGACTAAACCAACTGCATCATCACCAGTCAGCAGCATCGTCACCATCTGAATCATCACCATGATCATCAGCATCATCAGCATCCTCATCATCACCCTCATCGTCATCATCATTATCAGCATCATCATCATCATCGCCATGACCGTCATCATCAGCATCGTCGCAATCACTATCGTCATCCTCATCCGCTGCATCATCATATGCAGTATCGTCAAAGTCATCATCGACATCATCATCATCACCATCGCCGTCATCGCCATCATCCGTCTCATCATCATTGTCACCATCACCATCATCGACATCATTATCATCATAACCAACAACCTCATCATGGTCATCGTCGTCATCAGCATCACCGCCATCATCATCATCAACACCATCGTCATTCTCATCGTCGTGGTCGTCGTCGTCGTCGGTTTCGTCGTCGTCGCCGCCGTCCTTCTCATGATCTCCCCTTCTCATGCTCAATCTCCTCATCATCATCCTTCTCCTCCTATTCATCCTTTTACTCCTTTTCCTCCTCCTCTCCTCCTCCTCCTCTTCCTCGTACTCCTCCTCCTCCCCCACGAGGAGAACCCTCCGTGGACCTCTGGCGACTGCAGCCGCGCCCTCCACGCCTCCACTGAGAGGCGGTGGAAGGGGTTCCTGCCGCGGTGCAGGGGAACCGCGATTAGCGCGAGCTGGAGGGGGGAGGGCGCTCAAGGCATAAGAGCGACAGCCTTGCGGCAGACGACCCTGGGCAACTTTACGCGGTTCGAGATGGCCGGCCACGATGGGCGGCCCCGATGGGGGAGGAAGATGGGGGGGTGCAGGATAAGGGGGGGGGCAAGATGGGGGGCACGATGGGCCACTGAGTCCAGGTGCTGGGGACGCCCCGATGGGCGTTACGGGTAGTGTTTGTTGGATAGCGCGCGACAGCGACATCCGAGAGGAGCGCTATGCCTGTCAGGCGATCCCCCCGCGAGGGCCCCCGTCTGCGCATGCTACACCCCCCGCGAGGGCTTCTGCGATGCACGCTATCCTGAAGGTGGGGGGCAGCGTGGAGCAAGCGAGCCGGCGACGCCCGATCCAGCGCCAACCGTGGAGGGTAGAGGCTGCGGTGGTCGGCGGCACCTTGAATCCAAGGTGCGGTCATCGCTACGGCGGGGCTGCTGCGGAGCGAATTCAGCAGGAAGGCGGCGAGAAAGTCCAGGAGGGACGGCGGGGGAGGGCCGCGGACGGCCAGAGCGCCATCAGAGCGCGAAGTCCTCTGGAGCGTGCCAGAGGCAGGCCCAGGCCCCCGTAGCTGCCAGAAACCGAGCAAAGAAGGCAGAGAGAGGCGGGCTTGGGAAAGACTGGAGCAGCCTCGTGGTCGGCTTTGGGGGAGGACGGGCGCAGGGAGGATACGCGCGGGGCGTGCGGGAGAGGGCGGGTCGGCGGCGGCGGGGGCACACCGCTCGAGGCGCGAGGAAGCCTCGGAACCCTGCGCAACATCTGATTCGAACCCTCGCGCCATACATCCCTCGGCGGCAGAGGTCATCGGATCGGCAGCGCTCTCGGTTTTCCTGGGGGTGCTTTCCTACCTCGGCGACGATCCCTACGAGGGGCGGCATTCTCATAACCAGGCTGAACATGCCAGGACTCCTCCCTGAGGAGGGAGGAGGAGGGAGGAAGGGGAATGAAGAAGAGGCGACGGGGGAGGAGGAGGAGGAGGAGGAGGAGGAGGAGGAGGAGGAGGAGGAGGAGGAGGAGGAGGAGGAGGAGGAGAAGGAGGAGGAGGAGGCGGCGGAGGAGGGAGGAAGGAGGAAAAAGAGAATAGAGGAGAAGGACGATGATAATGAGGATGCAAATGAGGGGGATGAAGGAGAAGCCGAGTGCGAAGGGCGGGGAGTCAAAACGTCGAGCATCAAGCTCTCCGACAACGCCGCTGGTGGAAATTGCACGCGGCTGCGCTGCTCAGCTCTGCGAACAAACGTAACCAACAAAAAACAGCAAAAAAAACATTACGGACTTTCGGAGGTCCGCGCAGACTTCTTGGATCGGCGCTGGACCCCCTCACTGGCGCGCGGAGCACGCCAGGAACGGCGCCAGAGGCGCCGCCAGATTGGACCCAGCACCGATCCAAGAGATCCGTCTGAACCTCCGAACGCTGATGCTGATGCCCTCCCTATCTTCGTATGATTATTCGTCCTCATATGATTCTTATTTGAGCTTTGCTCAGAAGCTTTGGACGAAGAGGAGGAGAGAGAGAAGGAGGAGGAGGAGCAACAGGAGGAAGAACAGGAATTACGACGACGACCACCAACCACAACAACCGCCAAACGGCCCGCCTCTTGCTGTCTATTTCTCCTCCTCCTCCTCCTCACCCTCGAGAATCGAGGAGGAAGGTGTTTGGCTGTGTTTGCCATGTTTCCTTACGTTGTCGGCCCTCTTCGAACCTTCAGAGGCCTCTGGAGGCCTACAGGGACGCCGGGGACGTCCCAAGACCTGCGACAATCAGAATCCGGGGCGGCAGCAAAACTTCCACCTCCTCCTCCTCGTCCTTCTCCTCATCCTGCTCATTCTGCTCCTTCTCCTCCTCCTCCTCCTCCTCCTCCTCCTCCTCATCCTCCTCGTGCTCCCCTCCTCCTCCCCCACGAGGGTGAACCATCGAGCTTGAATCGACGATAGATCGGCGAGAAAACCCCGATTGCAAAATGCCTGGGCAAGTTGGGTCATCTGGCCCCTGTCAGCGATCAATGTGCGATTTTGCGTCGATGCACTTCCGATGCTATCTCCGCCTAATTTTGCCTCTGTTCCGCCGGGAACTGAGATCCGGAAAGGTAGCAAAACCTGTCACCTCATCATGCTTCTCCTCCTGCTCCTCCACCACTTGCCACCTCCTCCTCCTCCTCCTCCTCTTCCAGCTGCTCCTCCTCTCCCCCTGCTCAAGGCTCAAGGCTGGTTGCATCGGGGTTCGGTAGCGAACGCTGCAATACGCAACCCGCAGTGGCCTTCGCCACTGGGGGGGGGGCGAATCAAACAAGTCCTTCTGATCCTCATCTTCCACCTCCTCCTCCTCCTCCTCTTCCTGCCTCCTTCCTCCTCCTGCTCCTCCTCCTCCCTTCTCCATGCTCCTGCTCCTCTTCCGCCTCCTCCTCCACTTGCCACCTCATCCTCCTCCTCATCCTGCTCCACCCTTTGCCTTATGAGTAACCCTTCCCTGTCGTACCCCAAGACGTGCTGGTAGGGCGGAGAGGGCATCTGGCCTGAGACTTCCTCTTCGTTTATGATCCTGACGCCAGAACGTCGCAACAGCAGCTTCACGGATAGAGCGCGGGTCGTTTCCGCGATGTGGCTCTCGCCCCGGCGCCGCGCACATCCATCGGAGTAACACATACAAAGGCTTCCCGGATGGAGGGCGGGCCGTCTTCAAGTGTGGCGGCTCTCGCCTTCAGCAACTTCACGGATGGACGAAAGGACGTCTCCAAAATCTTGCCCTCGCCCTTTCACAGCGCGCACTCGCCGTAAACTTTTGCAACAGATTCACAGATGGAGCGCGGGTCGTTTTCAACATGTGGCTCTTGCTTTTCGCCACGAGAACACTCTTGTTTAAAGTTTGCTACAGTGAGAAGGATTCGCACGGCTGAGGTCCAGGGCATGATGCTTTGGTACGATCTAGGATTGTCCAGACGAGTCACATTGATTCGCGGTGCTGAAGTCCCAGGAATGGTGCAACTCTGCACGATTTCGAGTTGTCAGGACTCAGCGGCAATGTTGGTCCGCGGGGTTGAAGTCCCAGGAATACGAGTTTGGGCACGATTGGGGATCCTCAGACGGTTGTCTTCTGATGGGCCACTTCCCGCATTGAAATAAACATTTGCGCGGACCTATGAAGAGGGACCTTCGAGGGATGGATTACTGCAGCATCGTTGATACGTCTCGGGTTTGCGCTGGTCCTCGTCCCCATTCCTCCCTCCTCCTCTTCCTTCGTCCCTCCTCCTCGTCCCTCCTGCATCCTCCCTCTTCCCTCCTCCTCCTCCTCCTCCTCCTCCTGTTCCTCCCCCCTACTCCTTCCTCCTTCCTCCCGCCCCCCTCCTTGCTCCTCCCCCTTCTCGACGACCGCCCGCCCGCCCGCCCGCCCCCGTGCCACAGCACGCGCTGCTGCCGCTGCTGCACACCGCCGGCGGAGCGGGCCTCGGCGCCGCCGCAGAATGGCAGCCGCCATCGTTGGGATCTCGTCGCCAACGGGCTGCTCCTCCATCCCCTCCTCCTCCATCCCCTCCTCCTCCTCCTCCTCCTCCTCCTCCTGTTCCTGCTCCTCCTCCTTCTCTTCCTCTTCATCTCCTCCCTCTCCCTCTCATGCCTCCCTCCAGCCCTCCCCCCCTTCCTGCCCCGTCCTCCGCCTTCTCCCTCTTGCCCAGCTGCCCAGCTGCTCTTCCTCCTCCTCATCCTCCTCCTCCTCCTCATCCTCCTCCTCCTCTTGTGACACCTCGTGCTTCTCCTCCTCGCCTCGTCGTCTTCCTCCTTCTCCTCATCATCCTCCACCTCCTCTTCTGCCAACTCGGGCTTCTCCACCTTGTCTCCCTCCTTCTTTCTCATGATGGTGATGATGACAACGATGATCACCACCACCAACAACATTACCATCACCCTCCTGCTCGACCAACATTACCAGCACTACCATCACCCTCCTGCTCGCCCCCCGCCCCCACCCCACCCCCGCGTCCGCCCCGCACACTCTACCCAGAGAGGCACCGCGTGTCGTGCCTTGTCTCCCCCAAAGAAGACCCAACTGCATTAGCATCACCTTTCGGAGCTCCGCGTGGACTTCTTGGATCTGCACATCGCTGAGCACGACGCTGTGGGGCAGTTGGAATCGAACCTGGGAGGCCTGAAGTAATCGGGGGCCGCACTCGAATAATATGCATTGCATTAGCATGAGCTTTCGGAGGTCCGCGCGGACTTCTGGGATCGGCGCTGGACCCCCCACCCCCACTAGCGGCGCCTCCAGCGCCGCCCCTGGCGTGATCCGTGATGTCCTGCGCCGGTCCCTCCTGGTTCAGCGAAGCGGCCTGGCCGCTTGAGGTGTCGACCCATTGGGCCCGTCGCAACTCTATGCGCACCCCATGCAGCTCCAGCCTCCTTGAGTTGGCAGGGGGTCAGTGACGCGAATGTCTATGATGGGTGAATCACTCGCACTCGCACCTGCATCAGTAGGTAGGGAAGAGAAAAATCTCGACGCAAAGATGGTCAGTGCAATTTCGATGTGTCTTGAGGTTGCGCATGCCGCCACGATGACCTTGCACAGTTGTGGTGTGTAGCTCAGCAATACTGGCGAATGCAATATTGCATAATTGGCCAGGCTGGTGAGCTCCGTCGCAGGTTTCTCGATCAAATGGCCGTAGGAGCCCCTCGCCGTTGGCAAAGAACTCGCAGGGTGCTTGATGGTAGACCTGTTGATCTCGCAGCCCAGTGACGCACTAGACTAAGATATGATGAACGAAATCAGGCCGATCTGGAATTTTCTCACATGGCGGAATCTGGCTTACAGTTGCACGCCACCAGATCTGAATCCGTGGAGTCGTTGGAATTTCCCAAACTCCAAAACTACGATTGGGTGGAACTCTCTGGCTAGACGCAGGGTCCACCCTATCGGCACGCCTTGTGGTGCGATGGCAGGAGCTGGCTTGCAAGGGGGAGCAGGGGGACCAGTGTAAGCCCAAGACGTATCAACAATGTTGCCGTAAACCCTCCCTGCAAGTTCAGTTCCCTCTCAACAGGTCCCTACAAGAAACTATTTTCATTGCGGGGACTGCCTCTTCGCAAAACATCTGTGTGAGAATTCTCAGTCGCACCGAAACGCAATCTCGGGGACTTCAACGACGCGACGCAACGTGACCGTTCCGCCTTGACAGTCCTAAAACATACCAGAACACCTTCCTCGGGCTTCAGCACCAACAATCAACGTCACTCCTGACAATCCCAAAGCATGCCAGCACGCCACTCATGGGGCGTCAACCATGCGAACCCTTGCGCCTGTTACACTTGAGGGCGCATGTGCCCGGCGCTCTAAGGCGAGAGCCACACTTTGAAAAAGACCCGCCCTCCATTCCTGGCAACTGCCGCAACTCTTTAATACGAATGTGCGCGGCGCAACGGCGAGAGCCACATGTTGAAAACAACCCGCCCTAAATCCGTAAGGCTGTTGCAAGGTCTAAGCTTCTGCATCAGGTGTGGCTGGGAAGTCTCAAGCGAAACGTCTGGCCTACCCTACCGACACGTCTGGAAACGCGACATGGAAGAGTCGTTTATAAAAGGAAAGGGATGGAAGAGGAGGAGGAGTAGGAGGAGGAGGAGGAGATGGCAAATGGTGGAGGATCACCAGGAGCACAGAGAAGGGAGAAGGAGCAGGATGTGCAGGAGGAGGGAGGAGGAGCAGGAGGAGAATGAGGGGAGGAGGAGCAGGAGCAGGAGGAGGGAGGCGATGGACGGAGGGGAGGATGAGGGGGAGGGGGAGGAGGAGAGCACCCATCTTTTCCTCGTTATCTTCTTGATCGACGCACTTCCCCATTACTCGTCAGCAATTCGTAACAGCGACCCCCCCGCAAATGAGCAGGGTGGTCGTCCAACACACAGTCGACCACCCGATCCCCATCTGGCAAAGTGAAACAATTCGCGGACACTCCCTCTACTTAAACTTCAAAGTTGGCACGCGCGGGGAAGACTGCGGTCGAAGTGCAACTCATTCAACACCCCGCCCGCATTGACCATCGAGGGGGGCATTGGCAGATGACTGTGGCATGAGTGTTCGCTCTAACTTCTCCCGAGGCCTGTGGGCATCTCAGCTGGCGCGTGGCGCTTTTCAACTTGCCTGCCGTGCGAAGCATCAACAAATCAGTAGACGGGGGGAGGGGATCAGGGGGAGGAGCGAGGCATGCGATGGGAGCCGCGCGGAGGAGGCTGGATGCCAAGTTGAGGCCAGAACGGAAGGTGGAGGCGTGGCAGGAGTGCGGAGGAAGGCGGAGGAGTGGGGAGGCGCCAGGAGGGATGGGGAGGAGTGCGGGCAAGTGTGGAGGAGGGCCGAGAAGGAGTTGGGAGCGGAACGAAAGAGCGAGGACTGGTGAGGAGTGGGGAGGGCGGCGGAGAACGGAGGGCGGAGGGGTGCGGGGTGGTCTGGAGAGGAGTGTGGAGGAGCGCGGGGGGACAGGAAGGAATGGGAACACATGGGGAGGAGTGCGGAGGAGTGCGGGGGGGGCACGGGGGATACGGAGGAGGGCAGACAAAGTGGCTGGGATGGACACGGGGGGGGAGGAGACGGGGGGAGACTGGGAGCAGTGCGGAGGAGGGCGGAGGAGTGCTGAGGAGGGTGGAGGAGGGACGATGGAAGAGGGAGGACAGAGGAAAACAGGGTTGGGGGGAGGGAGGAGGAAGGGAAAAGGGAGGACGAGGGTGGAAAAAGGAAGGAGGGGGAGGGACGGACGGGGAGGGCGAGGACCCAGGCCCGAAGAGAAGGCCCAAAACATCAAAAAACACAAATACTCCACGCCCGCCACCGTGTCGCATGGGCCTCATGTCTGGATCGGCTGGTGGGGATAAGCGAAGCGTCTAGCAGTTAAATGGCGCGCCGGTTCCTGACCCCGATGAGGTTATGCTGGACGAACCACGGAACGAACGTATCTTCAACCGCGCCGTCGGCGGGCAAGGGGACGCACAACATGCTTGAGAATTCTCTGGAAGGGTGCATGCACACATTGACACGCGAACAATCAACATCCCGGCGTCGAAGGTGACGGTGACGACGGCGACAAAGGTGATGATGCTGTGGTGATCATGGTGATGCTGTGATGATGATGATGATGATGATGATGATGGCGAGAATGATGATGACGGTGATGATGATGCTGATGATGACGGTGGTGATGAGGATGACGATTGGAGTTAATGTAGACGCGAGCGCGCCACTATGCGCGACGAGTAAATTTATCGGAAGCACTGCAGCTCTGGCGGGAGCACGGTTGCAAGTTCGGCGGCGGCACTGGTATTAGCTGTTGCGCTGGTTCGACGAACCGACGGCGCGACTCGCAGCGAGCGTGTCGCGGCCCCCACAAAACGCATCTGTTCAGCGGCGCTGCAAGTAGAAATTCGCAAAGCACTGGCTTCAGCGCGGGAAGTCCTTCACTCGAGCCATGAAGAGCGGACCCGCGTGGCGAAGCGCCCCTGCATCGCCTGTTTCAAGCGCACTTCAAAGAAGGGGGAGTTGCTCGCGCAGAAAAGCGGCGCGGCTTTCCGGCGTGACAACCTATTCTTCTGGTTCGGGACGCGGCCGCCCATGCGCTCGCCAACGAGCATGCTCTGCACATCCTCGAACAAGGTGGTGATGTCGATGTGCTTCCAGTCCTGCCGCAGCAGAACCTGCGCCTCCTGGGCGGCCGGGAGCGGACATGACGACTTCGCTTGCGGCTTGCCCATGACGCGGCAGATCTGGGGTTTCTCGCATCCAGGCTCTCCGATGGCGGAAAGGTGCGTGACCCTCGTAACCCCGGCGCTGAGAGCGGCACACACGTCCGCGCAGAAGCGCTGGACGTCTTCGCCGTTTTTCCGAAGGGCGTCCAGGCCCCAAGGATCAAGACGCCGCGGCGCGTGTACCCGACCCCAGCGGCGGCCTTGCGAAAGAGGTCCAGCCGCGTTGCCGCCCTCAGGGCAATCGTCCGCGGCGCCTGCAAGACGGCCACGGCTGGGGTAACCAACTGGTTCAGCGTCTCCTTGCCCTGGGCAGCGCAGAACTCCGCGAGCTTCGCGTCGCCCTCTCTGGCTGCGGAAGCTGACCAGGGTGAACGCATCTCCCAGCCGCGTCCTTTTGGCGCGAGGCTGTCCAATCTCGTCGTTGCGCCGCCTTCCGGCGCTGGCGCGGGCGAATGGGTGGCCCGCCTCCAGGAGCTCGCGGAGGGCCTCGCCCCGCGGGTGCACGGGGCTCCAGAACGCCTCCTCGCTGAGCTCCGAGAACGGATTCTTCGGGGTGGCCACCGCGAGGTGCGTCACATGCACCAGTACGTCCCCCTCGCGCGCCGCCGCGTTCAGCTTCATCCCGTAGCGCTGGGGGCTGACGTCCGCGACATTCCGCCAGTAGTGTCCCCAGCTAGTGTAGGAAGCTGCGCGGCGGCGCAAGTCCCTGCGCCCGTCGTGCCCAGCCGCGT